GATGTGGCAGCTGGGCTAACGTTCCACAAGTTGTTCTGCTTGGGGAGGGTTTTTGTGTTTGTTTTTTTGTGGTGTTTTTTTTTTTTTTAAAGTAGCTTTAGATTTACTTATTAATACTGTTTAACTCGGTGTAGATACTGACAAGTGTTGTAGGATGCTTCTGTTTGCCGCTGATGCATTATTCCCTCAACAGAAGTTTCAGTTTGTGATTTCACAAGTTTCTGGTCCCCTTGGAGATTTCCAGAGTGTTTGATACAGTACTTAACTCTAGTGTACTTTTTCATAATTGAATCCTAAAGCAACTAAACACCTAGAAGCTTTTCTCAAAACTGAGAGCAGCTTGGACAAAATTTGAATTAAATTGCCTCTTCAGAAGTCTGCATATAGTTACAGTGTGTCGCTGGTAATGCTGCTGCGATTAGGATTGTTCTGTTTCTGCGCTGTTTGTCAAGGTGGCGATACACTAAGTGAGGCTGATACTGTGTGTACTATGCAAAAGCTGCTCGTGTGGTAATTAACACAACTTCTTATGCAGACTAATAGAGGTTCTGAGAAAGCAGAAGCAAACAGATGGAGTGGGTGTTGGCATCGCGCAGCAGGGGTGCTTAGCTCTTCATAAGTGGGTCAGTAATCTAGAGCAGAGGCTAAATAAGTACAGAGGTCCTTTTGACACTAGCCCTCTAAGTAATTTGTAGTTATCTTGCTGAATCCTCCTGGCAAGCCGGTGGGATTCTAATCGCATAATCCCTGTGTATCCTGAGACTAAATGTTGGCGCATGAGTTCACTTTTCTAAGATACGTAATGAATTTGGTAGAATTTAAGATGCCGTCTTTATGATCTCCCTTGCAGTTTTGACACAAACGGGGCACAAGAAACAGTCAGTGAAGAAACAGAGCATGAGCATCCATTTATATAAATCTTCCTCTAATGGAGCAGTTTCTTTCTTATTAGCATGGATTGCTATGCTGAAATAAATACTTTGTAAGTGGTGGCAGCTAAAATGCAAGCCTTTAACAAACCAAACCATGCCATGTAGTGAATAGTCAACTGGCATCTTCATAGTCTGTCATTGTCTGGGATAATGTTGACCTGGGCTGTTGTAGCTCCTATGTTTTTAAAATTGAAAAAAAGGCCAGGGGAAGGGAGGTGTTATGTTTAGACTCCTTTGTCCAGAGATGAAGGGCAACATGTCCAGAGAGGGGCAATGAAGCTGGTGAAGGGTCTGGAGAACAGGTCTGGTGAGGAGCGGCTGAGGGACCTGGGGATGTTCAGCCTGGAGAAGAGGAGGCTGAGGGGAGACCTGATCGCTCTCTGCAGCTGCCTGAGAGGAGGCTGTGGTGAGGTGGGGTCGGTCTGTTCTCCCAAGGAACAAGCGATAGGACGAGAGGGAATGGCCTCAAGTTGTGCCCGGGGAGGTTCAGATTGGACATGAGGAAAAATTTCTTTACAGAGAGAGTGGTCAAACATTGGAACAGGCTGCCCGGGGCAGTGGTGGAGTCACCCTCCCTGGAGGTGTTCAAAAACGTGCAGATGTGGTGCTTCAGGACATAGTTTAGTGGTCATGGTGGGGTTGGGTCAACGGTTGGACTTGATGATCCCAGAGGTCTATTCCAACCTAATGATTCTGTGATTCTTTGTGACGTGTTTGTTCCTCTGGAGCATCGTATCTGAAAACTAATGCAGAACTGTGTCCTTCCTGAGCTGTAACTGGGTACATCCGTTTCACATGTTGAATTCTGCTTCCGTGCCAACATTTGGGTAATGTGACAGCTGTGTGAGGGCTTTATCTTACATGAAGGATGAGTAGTAATGGAGATGACCTGCTTATACAGAGTACTCGCCAGGTACAACGGTAGTTCTCATTTGTTGCATGTTGTAACCCATTCACTCTTCCCCAGAAGATTCCATCTTGCACTGTGCTCTCCGTTACCTGTTGTGGAACCCACAGAGCACTGCTGTACCTCATCTCCTTCTTGGCATTTTCCCTGTTCTGCTGCTGACACGGTCTGCCCTATGCAATGCTGAACTGAGGCGTGTGAGATCGCTCAGGTGTATCTCTTTTTCTTGCAGTATATGTGGGAGGATAAAGAAGGGAAAGGTGCCTCCCATCAGTCTCAGCATCTCCAGCTTTCATTCATTTTAGCTTTGTGTAGTGAATATAGCTATCATGCATGCCCTGACAAAGGCTATTTGTATTTAGGAGGAAGGGGGCAGCTAAAAGATGCATCTGTAACAGTGTACCTCTATTTTCTCTTGCCAGATGTTTGTGTACTCATCTCAGTACTGTAGAAGGGTTTGATACAGCATCAGACCACATCCTGACTGATAACTTAACAAACTTGCTTCTTGAACAGATAAAATTTTTTGTTGACATCGATAGTAGTAGTTGTATTACAGTTATTATGTAAACTTGCTTTTGATACTGACACTTGAATCTTAGCTTTAATGGGAGGTCCTGAGTTTCTGCAGAGGAGGTGAATTTTGTCACTGCTTTGTATTAAGAGGCAACCACAGTGCAAAATCAAAGGGGTGTTGAATGTTGATGAAAAGTGATCTTGCAGATTACTGGCTGAAGTAAGGTTTTAAGACCAACTTCCTTAAATCCCAGTTTGGAGATTCTTTGCTGGGCTGCTAGTACCATGCAAGTGCTTTAGAGTCTTAGGTGAAATGCTAGCAGGTGCTTCCAGCGCAGAGAGAAGGCTAATACTCCTGTGAAACCCTTACTTTCCAGCCTGCTGTGCCGTTAGAGTT